CTGTGAAGCCCTGCGCACATCTGGAGTCTGGCGCGCCCCCTCTCCACCCCCAGCCCCCAGTCCCCAGGAGGCTCACTCACCTGCAGGCGCTGGGCTGCTCCTTCCCCACGCTGGCCCTCCATTTCCTCTTCTGTAAAATGAGGGGAGCAGCCTCCACCTCCCAGGAGCAGGCTAGAGGCAAGGATTCTCCCCAGCCTCCCTCCTGTCTAAGAGCAGGCCTGATTAGTCCGAACGGAGCCAAGGACGTTCTGGCTCGGAGAGGCGGCTCTTCCTGATGGCTTTTCTTTTCTTAAAACCAGGTGTTTCTCTCAGGAAAGGGCTGGTCAGGTGGGCTCCACACCCCTTCCCTAGAATAAATAGCAGGACCACTTTGTCACATCCAGGGCCCTGAACTATCCACGGCTCTGTCCAGCCCACAGCTCTGTCCTGTCCAGGGCTCTGTCTTGCCCAGGGCTCTGTCTTGTCTCCATCTCCTCCTCCTCCTCACGCGTCCCTGTCTAGGCCAGGACAGTCCCTGTGAACTGGTTTCCTCCCACGTCCTCCCATTTCCTTTCTTGTATTGAGTCTGCCCTGCACCTGGTGGCGAGGATACCCCCTCTCAGTGGGGCAGAGGCTGGCCGGCCCCCACTCCTGTGGGAGTCGTCGGGGCCCTGGCCCTGCCTCGAGGCCTCTGGGCAGCACGGAGACACCCTGCTCCTGTGTTGTCTTTCCTGGCACGCTGCAGAGATTCAGCTGCGTCCTGGGAGACACCTCACCACGCGAGAGTGAGCCCGGAGCAGGCCACGGCAGCCGGGAGCCTTTCCCCTCTCATGCCAGGTGCTCTGCAGCACCCAGGCAGCTCCTGAGCCAGTCGTTCAGCCAGCAGCAGGAGGGGGAGGAAGGCCAGGCCAGCATCACGGGCCAGAGGACAGGCCCAGCACAGTCAGCCTATGCCTCGCCCACCAGAGACTTCAGTGTCAAGCCGCACCTGGAAGACACTCCGTATCAGTGAGAAAGCCAAAAGTGGGGAACTGTGACGTGCAGCCTGGAGATCAGCATCTTCGTCAGCATGAAAAACAACCAGGACGCTGGAGACATGGCTCAAGTGGTAGGGTACCTGCCTAACAAGCACGAGGCCTTGAGTTCAACCTCCAGTTACAAAATGAAACAAAAAACAGACAGCAGCTCCGTCCCTCGTATGCGTGCCCTGGCCCGGTCACTGGCTGCCCAGGGCCTGTGAATCCTGGTTAAGTCCTGCGTTTCTAAATACTGTGACTCAAGTCTCCATGAACAATGGTGGCCGTTCCTGTTCAAGCCACTGCCTTGGTTTACCCAGGAGAGGGCCAAAAGTCCCAGGCTCCGTAGACAAGGAAGCATTTACAGTATGTGTTTAATGGCACTGGAAGCGCCCCAGGGCACATGCACCTAACAGACCTGGGACAACAGGGAGAACTTCCCATCAAAGGGCCGTTTAACAGAAGGGCTTGGCCCTGCTGACGAACAGGAGGGAGCTCCTCCCATGGTGTCCCCACGTATACACAGACAGACCAGACACCCCAGGAACCACTGACAGACAGACAGACACCGGGACACCCCAGGAACCACTCACAGACAGACAGACCGGACACCCCAGGAACCACTCACAGACAGACAGACACCTGACACCCCAGGAACCACTCACAGACAGACAGAGACCAGGACACCCCAGGAACCACTCACAGACAGACAGACCAGACACCCCAGGAACCACTCATAGACAGAGACCGGGACACCCCAGGAACCACTGACAGACAGACAGACACCGGACACCCCAGGAACCACTGACAGACAGACACCTGACACCCCAGGAACCACTGACAGACAGACAGACACCAGGACACCCCAGGAACCACTGACAGACAGACAGAGACCAGGACACCCCAGGAACCACTGACAGACAGACAGACACCTGACACCCCAGGAACC